AAGGGGGAGTAGTAGTTATTTTTATGTTTTGATTCAGATGTATGATTATTCTGATATTATTTTGACATCAACATTTTTATGTACTTAAAAATTTTGATTCAGAGGATGATATTTTCGTTTTAGTTAGATCAATTTTTGATATTAGTGATATCAATATTTTTTTGGTAAATTGGTTTACATTGATAATGCATTTTAATTTAACAGTTTGAATTATATTTATCCATATTACTATTTCATATGTTTTTATACTAGGTGTTTGAGTTGTCTATTTTAGGGAACGGGTTAGACAAAGAAAAAAACACATTTCAGCTGAGACAGTTGATTTGGGAGTCATAGTTGTTTTTATGTCTATATTTTTACTACCTTGACTTTAGATTTGTAGTTTTGTCATAGAATACCAAAGGGGGAGCTTGTTAGGTTTTATTGTAATGAGCAAGTCTGTGAACTAAAAGGACTAAAATTAATATGATGTAAAAGTCAAGGATTAAGTTGCAATTTATAAAAATTGAGCTGTATAGGTTCTATGGTTCGAGTATGGAAAGAGGAGAAAAATGGCCCCGCAATTTCGCTAGCTCATCGTCATGTCTTCGCTCGAGCGGCAGAAACAAAAATATCATCGCCCGCTTGTCGCCTTGTCCTCGCTTGAGCGACAACCTATCACTAAGCTCTCTCTCGAGCGACAGGATCATCCGGAAAGTTTAATTCATGTTTGTTTAATTCATGTTTTTTTAAGACTTTTTTCAGCCCATTCAACCATAAACCTACAGTATAAATACCAGTACGCCTCTGAACGTTTTTCTTGAAAGTTGAACATTGAAAGAACACATAATGCTTCATATCTACTTCATCAAATTCATCCATAGCTTTCAACCTTCGTAGTTTGATTTATTCTTGACGGTGAAACCATCGAATCTACTTCATCCAATAACCAAACTTTCGAAATATCTGTCAGAGTTCTGAAGATTAGGGAAAGGTGGCTGGAGTTCCAGTTTTTGTTGAAGAACGTGGAGTTCTTCATTGATCCACAAGAGATAGACGAATTCATAAAGTCAGGAGGTGCAGGAGCACGCAATCTTGGTGCAAGGGCACGCAATCCAAGAGGGCTATAGGAATTTCTGTCAGGAGGTCAGAAAGTACTAGTGGTAGTCATGTCTGATAGACTGTAAGTTTAAATTCATTTATAGTGGGTTTTTTACTGACAAAGTACCAGTAGTTTTTACCCAGTTGGAGTTTCTACGTGATCATTCTGGTGTTATTTACTGTTTTTATGTAACTGCGGCAGGTCAACATATGGAAATTGGTTGATTGATTAACCATCTAGAGATAATTAAAAGTGACTTGTTACTATTTAATTATTAGTTTTTTTAATTCTGTATAAGTACCTATTCACCCCTTCTATGTGTAATTTCGATTGAACCTCGTAATTTCAATACTTCTAAGCTCCATGCCTTCTTATGATTCTTAGCTAGCATCTTATTACTAAGCATCCAAGTTTATTGCAATGAAAAGAAATAAAATGAATGTTATGCAAGTATGATTATAGGCAGACAATATTTTATCGATTCAAAAACATTTTGAATTGAATTGAGGAAGTGTATCCAAAAGAAGAAAGAATAGAAAGAGAAAGATCTCCTATTGGATTGGAGGAATTGATTGAGAACTACCAAGATGAAGTAAAATCAAGAAGTACTCGTGAAAGGGGTGTGCGATAGATAGAGTAAAACCCAATATCTCACTATTGCAGAAGGTAGATGAAATCAATGTAAATACAAAATTTGATCTTCTGGGCAAGACATGAAAGAGTTTTGGTCATATCAATCCATTTCAGTGTTCATCCGTGGAGAAGAGAAATAGGAAAAATGCAAGGTATGGGAGTCAGTATTCAACTAGTCTGGAGACTATAGCTCAGTAGAACTTCTAATCCAATCATGAAACTGAAGATAGAACTCAAATAGATGGTATATTAAAGTGGGTATCTCCTACTGCAGGTATGGCACTAGCTAAGCTTGTAATTAATGTAGTTCCTCAAAAACTCATTTGATCCTAATGCATTTGAATTCATTTGAGATGTGAGCAAAACTCAAATTGGAGAAGCATATGGCCATTGGGTCCCTTTTATTGGACATGTTTCTATTTATTTTTGCTTCTTATTGGTGAGGACCTCTTTTACCTTGAAAAATCATACAATTACTCTAGACCCACGAATAATATAAAATTTACCATTGCTTTGGCATTACTCAAGTCAATGGCATATTTTTATGCAAGTCTTACCAAAAAAGGATTAAGTTATTTAGGGAAATATGTTCAACCAATTCCAATCCTTTTAACCATTAACATCTTAGAAGATTTCACAAAATCCTTATTACTTAGTTTTTGACTTTAGTCGCGGCTTATATAGGTCAATCTATGGAGGGCCATCATTGAAATAGTCCATTATTTTTTAGCTTAATGCAAAGCAATATATATGTGGCTCGAGATAATTTACTTAAGGAATAGAAATATACAACAATACTATATAGATAGAAAACAGAAAGTAATAGGAACAAAAACAGGGAAAGAAATCTAAAAGATCTTTTTCCTCGAAATTCCCTTTTCATCCAATTACTATAATACCTTCCCTCAATGAATATTCGCTTTATATTGGTTAGCTAATCTTGTTATTCAAATCAAAATTGAAATAAGAAAGTATCAAATTTCATATTTTGTTCCGTCCGTAAATAGAAAAGTAGGTCCTTGACTTCTAATTCTTTATAATTGGTCCTCATCCTTCTAAGTTCATAAAGTCTTGATCCGATGCATGTTTCAAAAGTTTGAGATTTAGCCCCCCCATAAAATCCCCTTTTCGTCCACTTACGATCATACCTTCCCTCAACGAATATTCGCTTTATATTGGTCAGCAAATCTTGTTATTCAAATCAAAATTGGAATAAGAAAGTATCAAATTTCATATTTTGTTCCGTCCGTAAATAGAAAAGTAGGTCCTTGACTTCTAATTCTTTATAATTGGTCCTCATCCGTCTAAGTTCATAAAGTCTTGATCCGATGCATGTTTCAAAAGTTTGAGATTTAGCCCCCCCTAACTTTCCAACTGTCAACTTTGTCTCCCAAAGCACATGAATTTCATCAAATTGCTTCAACTGATCTTCAAACTGATTAATTTCACCCCAAATGATCTTCTATTGCTTTAATCAATCTCCAATTAAGCTTAAAATCATCATTTTTCACACACATTACATTCACATCTGATTTTCACCTACAAATCACATAAGTATACTTAATTACGTAAAATTTTGCTCCATTAGTCATAAGTTGTTAAGATTAAAAGAAAAACACGCTTATCAAGAACAAAGACTTCGTATAGATGTTCACATTGGCCAACTTTCTTGTCAACTTGTTTTATTAATTTAGTATATTTGTTTGCCAACTTGCTGCACTATATGCATTGGAGACGATATATCTTATAAAGCTCTAATTATTTATTTGGAAAACTATTAGATGTTCATATAGGCCGTGTCAGTAATTAATTATACAAATTGATGTAACATTGATCATCTTTGAAGTGACATAGAAAAGTCTATATCCATGTGAACTCTTAAACAAATAATATTTGATTGGTTTTGTAATTATATAATAATCAAATTTTGAAATAGTTATCAACCCTCTTCATATTTGAACGCATCTCAATCAATAAAATTCTACCCCTTACCAATTATTTCTTTGACTTGTTACGAAGACGATAGTCTTGAAACTTTATACAAAGATTTTAAAATTTATTGCTTCTGTTTTTATTAGTCCATAGTCTAAAGAAAAATATATAATCGATTTGGCAAAGATCATAATAGTTATTACCTTTTTAATTTTTCTCATGAATTAACAGTTCTAAAGAAAAACATATAATCTATTTTGCAAAGCTTGACGTATAGTAATAAACATTAATATTTTTCAATGTCTTCATTATTCTTTGGATGTTCATTTTGCTCTTCCGAAATTTTATATACTTGTCAATCTCACGTCGACGAGTCATTCAATTTGTTTGTGTGAAGTTTAAACTATTTGCCTAATAATTTTTGTTTGATATTTCGATTAAAACAAATTTACAAGACGTTTGATACAAAAATTGGATAAATTTATGCAAGACTATTGTTCAAGATGATTTAAACAATATGAACATATATCCATATTTAATCGATTTCTTAAGGCCATTGGTAATAAGAAACGAAGATCAAGGAGCGAGATGGTAGATGAATAGTTGACGAAGTCAGTCCTCGTTGAAGTGCTGCTATACACAATTGAAGAATAAACGTCAGTTCAAATTATTTATTATTTCTCTGAAATTCTTGGGGCTATATAAAGTGGTGACAATCTCAGTTAGCCGATTGTATCAACTAATATCTGTAATTAAGAAAGCAGCTCGCCTCTCATCTTTCCATCCTTGGTAGTTACATCCTCTCTCTAATATTTCCGTGCAATGCTCTTAATTAATAATAATGTATTGTTTTTACACATAATTTTTCATTTGTTTCTTATAATAACTTCTCATTTGAAGCTCTACATACCCTTGCAAGTTTCCATTTGATGCATTCGTTTAGCATTGATGTATTTCTTTTAATTATTCATTCAATAGGCAATCCAATCCTATAACTTTTAATTTGAAGCATTGCATAACCTTTTCGCAATTTTTTTTTAAGTAGAAGATGCTTTGATGAGATGTTCACGAACAGAAAAAGATCATAGCTAGTTTGATAATGATCAAGTGATTGTTTTCAATTAAAGTTTCTTCTTGAAAAAGAAAGAAGTTTTCAATTAAAATCCTTCCCTTTAATTAAGTTTTTTACAATGTTTTATCATTTCCCATAATAATATTTTCATTTAATGATACCATTTCTTATGCTTTTCTCCTCATTTTCACTTAATAAACTACCCTTAAGGGAAAAAAAAAAAATCATCTAACGAACTCCGAATTCTCGCTTTCATGGAAAAATGTGTAGGTACTTAGCACAATGGATAATAACAATTGCAGCAAAAGGATTGAAGAACTCCAGGAAAACACAAGAAAAGAATTGCAAAGAGCTTCGGACCCAATGGCAGCAATGGAGTTGATAGATACACTGCAATGGCTAGGAATTGCATATAATTATGAAGAAGAAATTGATTTATGGTTGAACAAGTTATCTAATTGGGATGCTGGTGAAGATCTCCATGCAACTGCCCTACGTTTTCGACTGCTTAGGAATGAAAGGTGGCCAGTTAGCTGCGGTATGTCATTTTCTTTCGTTATTAGTACGGTTTGAAGACACTCTTAAGACACCTCTCTATTAATATGAAAATAATGAAGGATTAACTTTTCCAAAATTCATTTTTCTCTAAATTAATTTTAATTAAACATTATCTCAATAAAATAATTTTGCAGGTAAATCAAAAAAAATTTCTTAATTTTAACCACGTATTCTTAAAAAAATCACAGTTACAAAACTCATTTTTTTCACAAAAATAGGGTCAAGAATGAAATTGTCCAATATAATTATTCAAGAATAAATCTTGTTTTGCCTACTATATAATTAATCTAATTTTGGAAAGACTGGACGAAATTGACGTGACTTGCCCACTCTAAAAGATGAAAAAAGAAATAAAATAAACTTTTTTAGTCAAATACAACGTTATACACAGTTGTATTATGAAAGTTCTTTAAATTATATTATCACGTGGACATAATGTCAAGCTGAACGCTTATTAATTAGTCAACCTAATAGTTTAAATTGACAAACATCATACTAAATGCCACGTAATTTTATATTTTAACATTATTCTTTCTTATGTAACACCCATCAATGCCTAGGCGTAATCTTTACTTTTTATCCCTCAAGCGAGACCAAATTGGAGGGTGGATAGTACCATTATCATATTTTATAAATGAGAAATAATTAAAAAGTAAATAAATATGGTTGGGACGATCCAACCTTACATTCAGAGATTAGAAGCGCTTAGCGATGAGGTTGATTGCATGGTATTACAACTATTTTTTTGAAACTCTTTCATTTTTATATTCATTTTCAACCATACATTTACACAATAAAATATTTTGCACGTAAATCCAAAATTTTTCTATACTTTTCAACAATATATTCTCCAAAAAATTATTTTTTTCAAAATAATGGCATCAAACAAGGGCTAAGCCTATTATTTGGCTAATATTTATAAACTATTCATAAGCATTCAAACAACGGTTAATCCACACATTTCGAGAGATCAATAGGGGTAGATATTCACATATTCATTACTAGTGTCTATCTATTTATAATTTAAATTATTTATAAATACTTCTCAAATATGCTTTAAGTTAATTACACCTAGTGAATGATATTTTACCATTACGTTTTATATCTCATACCAGACATGGAAAGCAGTGAATTAAAAAAAATAAGAGGTCTTAGCATAGGTTAGCAAGGAGACAACAAATAGCTAGAACTTTATTTGTTTTAGCTAATCTTCATCTCTAATATTGACTAATCACTAATTAATTATTATTATCATTATTATTCTTAACTGGCAGATGTTTTCAAGAAATTCATGGACAAGAATGGAAAATTCAAAGAGTCCTTGAACCAAGACACAAAGGGGCTTTTGAGCTTATATGAAGCATCATCCTTGGGTGCATTTGGTGAGGATATACTTTCTGAGGCCATGAAATTTTCAGAAACTCACTTGACACAGTGCATTCCGGGCATGGGACCACAGCTTCGTGGACAGGTGACCCGAGCCCTAGAACTCCCTAGACACCTGAAAATGGCAAGGCTTGAATCCAGACTCTATATTGATGAATATAGCATGGGAAGCAATTTCAGTCCAACTCTACTTGAGCAAGCAAAGTTAGATTACAACAAGGTCCAATCCTTGCACAGAATAGAGCTTGCTGAGCTGTCAAGGTAACACTGCACTTTCGACCAGTTTTATATGTTTGACTAGATGATATTGAACAAGATTAATAGAAATTTAAATTCGACAAAAAATTGATAGTTGCCTTGTCATGTATGTTGTCAAGTACTCCACTAGTTCAATATACCAAATATGCACGCTATATAATCTGGATGGATAAAACTACTTTGCGAGAAGGATTTGACAGAAAGCTTGACATAATTGTATGTAGCAGTAGATGATTACATGAAAAGGCTAGCTGTGTTTTAATCTGTCCAACGATATAATGACATGCAAGCTTTATTTCAACTTTGATATTCATGTAGCATTATTGAATCTGGATACACATTTACGGGGTTTCAACTATCCATTTGAATTCACATCACTTTTTCTCTATTTATTAAGAACTCGTTATTGTTATTTACTTTCAAATTTAAATTCAAGATTTCCAATGACATTAGGTGGTGGAAGCAATTGGGCCTGGTCGAAAAACTGAGTTTCGCACGTGATCGGCCTATGGAATGCTACTTCTGGACTATAGGAGGACTTCCAGAGCCGAAGTACTCAGGAGCTCGCATTGAGCTGGCAAAAACTATTGCCATTTTGTTAGTAATTGATGACATTTTTGACACTTATGGATCCATAAGTGAGCTCTCTCTCTTCAACAATGCAGTTCAAAAGTAAGTTATAATTGTCTAATCCTTTTTCGATTGAACTCCAGATAAATTTATCACATAATAAAAATACAATGTCATGAATTTTTTTCTATCTTCCTTAATCTTGTTTAGTCTTATTCAGTGTAACATTTTGAATTTGCAGATGGGATCTTGATTCAATCGAGCAACTTCCTGAATACATGAAAATATGTTATATGGCACTTTACAACACTACAAACGAGATTGCTTACAAATCCTCAAAGAACAGGGCCGAAATGTTCTCCCTTCCCTTAGACGAGTGGTAACACATTTCAATAAATAGAAAAAAAAAAATCATTCCTTTTAGTGGTTTTTTGTTTAGGATACAGAACAACAAAACTTTAATAATATTTTTTGTTTATAAAATCTTTTGTAACGTTAAGGAATATTATCTAAAAGTTTACACTTGAATAGATGAGAGAACATGTCCATAACATTATAAGTAATGTTATTTTGCAAAATTTATTTTTCAGTGGATGAACACCATCGAAGCTTTCATGGTCGAAGCCAATTGGTTTAGCAGTGGACATGTACCTACTCTTGCAAATTACCTAGAAAATGCAGTAACAACATCGGGGTCATACATGGCATTGGTCCATATTTTCTTCTTGCTTGGCGAAGGAATTAGTCTTGGAAATGTAAAATTAATGGAGAAACCGTATCCAAAAATATTTTCACGTTCAGGCAAGATTCTTCGACTCTGGGATGATTTGGGCACTTCAAAGGTAATTAATTAATTAAGTTCAATAGTTATGAAAAATCAGACAAATATTATAAATAAGATTTGATGAAATTAAAGCTTAGTTGCTTCTTATTGTTCAATATAATCATTCCAAACAACTATAGTATTTTCCAGTAGTTCTCCTTACCAATTATTCCATGAAACAGACATTTTCATAACTATTTTTTTTCTCAATTTTTATTGTTTTTAAGTCATATATCAAGAATATAATTGCCTTTCAAAGCTATATACAGGCCAACTACAAATTATAATTTCTTTTTATTTCTTTTATTCTTCATTAACATATGAAGTTAAATGATAGGGTTTTGAAAAAAAGATGTTTTCTGAAAAGAAAAATGATATACTAATCCAACAAGGATTTATGTATCACAAAGAGCAAGATTTTGGGGAAATAAAGCAACAAACAGAAAGGGGAAAAAAATCTTCAACTTAAGTTGAAAAAATTAAATTAATAATTTCGGGATGAACTTATTTGTCAGGAAGAGCAAGATCGAGGAGATAATGCTTCGAGTATACCTTTGATCATTGATGATCCGATTTATCGCATCTTCCCGATCTGAATTCCCGAGGAGTTGGGGTCCCATTTTGTACGAATCTCTACGTACCTCCTCGGGAAGATGTCCTCGGGTCGGGCACCTATTACATTGGTCCTTACGACAGGTCTACTCCTGCGCCAAAGCTCAAAGTCCTACTAGCATTATAATACCTCATCCTAAAAAGACTCTACCACCAGAATTCTATCCCAATCCAAACATATGAGCAATACTGAACCAACTACAACTCCCGGTTGCACTAGGACTCCTAAGCATCTCAGCATTATAGTCCTACTAGGAGTCCTCCACCCACCCCTATAAATACACTATTCTTGTTCATTACCAGGTACGCAAAATTTTACACACAAGTTACAACATATATTACTTTCATAAATTCTCTCTCTAACTTAAGCATCGGAGGGGCGACGAGGACACACCTCGACGCCTTTGTTTCAGGTAC